GACACAATATTTCTTCTGTAATTTCATACCTTACCTATCTTCCGGAACTCTCTTTTTGTGTTAATCATACTGAACTTGTACGATTATCATCTGGCAAAAGAGCTCATAAAATTTAGGGATCTTATAGTTGACACGAACGATAAAAGGTGTATAGGACTTCTAAATCTTAGTTACAAATAAGCTTTTAGTGATATTGTGCTCATCATGAGCTAATTGTCTCCAAATACGTTCATCAAAGCAGCTTGCTTCAAGGACATTGCTCGACATTAAGAATGTGGGTTCTTCATTGGATTTTGTACAAAGCCGTACCACGAGCATATATGTGCCTAAATCTGTAATAATTTTCTCATGTCTATAAATTGTAGAATATGTGGTATATACAGAGAGAAATTATATATTAGTTAAAAAAAAAAGGAAACTGGAGAGTTTCTATTTAAATATTGGAAGAACTCATCCTTGGAAGATTCTCTTGCCTGCGGCTCCATGGAATCACTTGCTTAAACCCTTTGTAAACCTTTGCCTGCGTGTTCAAATGGGTTAATCAAATTGGGCAAAAAGACAGCTAACAGCTTTGAAATTGGTTCCAAAACATTCACAGCCCTAACAAAAAATGTCAAAAGAAAGAAAGAAAAGACAAATTGTTGAGATTTTGAATCATGTAAAAGTAACTTATACAACGGAGAACAAGAATCTTACAACAGAAATTAACGTCATGAGAAAATTTAACAGCTTTGAAACTTACCAAAAACTGTGATTTGGAATGAGAGAGATTCAAGAGGCTTCCTTTTCTTCTTACTCTACTGATCTTCACCGTCGTACCACCGTCGCAGCAGCGGCCGTTTGTGGAACGTGAAAAGTCGAATCTACCCTCAGAGTCTTTTTCGCTTCTCCATATCACCGAAAGAGACCGGCGAGGTATAACGTAAGGACCATCGAGGACTGTGGTCGGAGATGGCTCATTCGCTACAGGCACGATTAGCCTCGGAGGAAGCTCAAGGCACCGCACGACTCCTCCTCCGGCGTTCTGTTTGGACATCGGCGGTTTGTTCTCAACGAAAACGCGTGGCTTTCCCGGAGCTTCCTCCCATACAAACGGGACCGATCCGGCGATGTTCACAGGCGGCGTCTCTAGGCCAGGAGTCTCCGATGCCCTGTTCAATGGAGTTGAGAACAGAGGAAGCTTAGGAGTCGTACAGAACCTTTCTTGATCATCAAACTCAAATTCCATTGTTGTTTTTTTCAGAGCTTTCTTTGACGTTATATATGAAATGGGTTTGGGATTTAAATAGAGAGATAAAAAAGGAGTAAGAGATCTTCTTCTTCTTTTTTTTTGCGTTCGAATTATATGAACACAAGAAACAGGATAAATAATGTGAGGAACTGTATAGTATTTTATGGAAGTTGAATATAAAGTAAACAAAACGCTCCTTGTGGCGCTTCTTATTCACGAGAGACCCCCCTAAGCTAGAAGAAGAACAAAATAAATAAATAAACAAAGCGGGTTCCTACGTTACCATTTTCTTAACGTTGGGTCCTTTCAAATTTCATGTCGAACTTTTATTGCTTTTACTATTGTAAAATAGTAGTACTATTCTAAAATAGTAGTACTATTAAT